GGAGTGGAATTTACAAAATCTTTTCTACTTTGTATTAATAACATAATATTGTCTTCTCGACTCAACAGTGTATACAAATACATTATTGTGTATTTATAAAAAAAAAATTGGTTTCTCCTATGGGAGGCTGTGGAATGTACTGCAGTAGAGAGAGCAAGGGGGTTGGGAGTCAGACTGGCCTGGGTTTGAATTTCAGCTCTGCACTTACTAGCTGTGTGATTGGGAACAAATCTCTGAGCCTCAGTATCATTACCTTCCAATATGAGTCCAATAATACTCACAGAGGTAATATAAACATTAAATAAAAAATATAATAAACATAAGCTAGCCTAATACATTGTAGACATTCAACATGTAATATCTGATATGTAACTATCACACCTTGTCTTGCATTCATAATGGGAAAAGCTCAAAAACAATTTCTGTGATGATATAAACCTATAAAGCTACATGTACAGTAATATAAATAATTCATATCCTTTACTCTTAATCAACTAAAAAATATTTAATGACACTAAAATAAAGTTGATCTAGCCTCCAGAATTTTTTAAAACTATATATAATCTGCTATCAATGTTTAAATGAATCTATGAAGTTGAAAACATGATAATTAATCTACAGAGATAGCTTAAAGGGGCACAGAACACCTTTAAGAAACAGTCAGTTCTGGGAAAAGTGACCCTCCATTATGTCCAGTCCAACCCAAGTGGTCTGCAAACCTCACTGCTCTCTGGCAGCTCTGCCACTCGGTCCCTCCTGGGCTGTGCCAGAACCGGGACCAGGCAGTCTGCTCACAAGACAGTGGGGAGTATTTCTCAGCAGGGAGCCCACGACCCCTCCAAGTGGGGCACTTAGCAGAATGGCGACTGCAACTTCCTTCTAAAGGCAGTTCTTTAGAAGCTTTTGCTGCAATGGCAATTTGCATAATAGCCTTGCCTCTACGGTGCCTTTTTTTTTCCTTCAAAAATAAATCTGCTTATAAGATTGATCTAGGGAACTATCTTAGGCAGCCCTCACTCATTAAGGGCCAAAGGAGATTATTTTCCCCTCTAACTCGTCTAAGCAAATGAAACATCAACTTTTAAAGGAATTATTTGTCAAAGATTTTAGTGTTAAAGAAATTCTAGCCCTGGTGGGGTAGCTCAGTTGGTTAGAGAGTCCTCCCCATATGCCAAGGCTCTGGGTTCAATCCCATTCAGGGCACATGCAAGAATCAACCAATGAATGCATAAATAAGTGGAACAACAGGTCTCTTTCTCTCTCTCTCTCTCTCTCTCCCCCACACACACACACCCCGCCCTTCCAACCTCCCTCCCTCCCTCCTTTCCTCTCTTTCTAAAAATCAAATAATAATTTAAAAAAAAATAGTTCTGGCCAGTGTGGTTCAGTTGGTTGAGTGTTGTCCCATGCACCAAGAGGTCATTGATTTGATTTCCCATCAGGGCACATGCGTGGCTGGGTTGGGGACTCGATCCCCATTAGGATCTAGTAGAGCCCTAGAGATACCAGAGAGCAATGAGGTTTGCAAGCCACTGGAGTTGGACTGGATGTAATGGAGGGTCAATTTTCCCAGGAGAGAGCAAATCGATGAATGCATAAATAAGTGGAACAACAGGTCTCTCTCTCTCCCTCTCTCTCTCTAAAATCAATGAAAACATATTTGAATAATTTTTAATTCTTTCTACACACTTGTATACAGAAAGAATTTATTGACAGGTAAATGGCTACTGGAGAGAGAGTATGAAATAAACTACACAGCCAGCCAGTGTAAAAAGCCCAAGAGTGTCAACTGGAGCCAAACTGGTAGGGCTGGACCTTGGCTCTGCCACTCACTAGCTAAGTGACTAAGCCTCAGTTTCCTTTTGTGTAAAATAAGATCACAGGTGTGCCAGCCTTGTAGGGCTAAATGAGTTCATATTTGTAAAGTGCCTAGAAGAGTGTCGAGCACGTACCCATATTAGTGTTTCTTAAATAAATAAAACAAGTCACTGACGACTGGAACATTACAAAACTTACCTCATAAGGAAACCTTAAAATTTGGCACCCAACAAACAGTGGAGGGTGGTCATGCGATCACTTACTTCAGCCTTCCACGGGGCTTACTGAGGACCTTTTCTAGCCAGTATGGTAAAAAAGAAACAAAACCGAGGACTCTACCCCCAATTCTCCATATCTAGATTATCACCACTTACTTCCAGGGACTCCGATCATTCAGACAACCAACCTTGAGACATGAGCTGCACAGTATTAGCAAACTCATTGAGGACATTTCCTACTAAGAAGAGTGGACCCCATCAAACAGCAAATCCCTCAATAACTAGCTGAAGGCCCTGCTGGGCAGCAATGGCATCCTTTGCCCATCAACATCAATGGGGAGCCACAGGTGCCTGACATCCAATGTGGGGAAAAGGAGGAAGCAAAAGCAAACCCACTGGAGAGAACCATCCTCTTTTGTTAAAGCAATAAAAGGGGTGGGGGGGGGGCGCTATCATAAAGACCAAAGGGTAAAAGGTCTGAAAATTAGTCAATATCTACTGGTCATTTCTAAGCAGGGCACATTTGGTCATTTTATTCATATTTTCCAGTTACATTCGAAGTGATCTATTTCAAAGCAACCCAGTGAGGTTTCAAAGAAAGCTTAAGTTTAAATATCTTGATAGTGATCGTTTCTTCGTTTTGCCCCTCTCCTTCCTTTCAATAAATGAGGCAAAAGTCTGACAGCCCAAAAGCATAATTAACCACCTACAATGTACTAGGAGCATAAAGAACACAACGCTGTAGGCGATAGAAAAATAAATTTTAGGAAGAACTGAATCTGGTCACGGAGATAAAGACAAACCTAGAAGACTCACGATACAGAGCACTTACAGAATGATAGAGCCAAACCAAGAAACCTGTAAGTAGCAAGTACTTGCTAACTCGGGAGGAGGGAAAATCAGACTCGGTACAAACAGGAATTTCACAGAAGGGAATCTGAGCTGGGACTCGGGAGACAGGATTCAAACAGCAAGAGGAAAGGGGTAACATGCTCTCCTACCACTGACGAATTCAGGAGATTCAGATCTGCACAATTTTCTCCAAGCTGTGCCAAGAGAAACACACAAAGCTGAGGACAGATAATCCCAATGTCTCTGCCCCCGAGCACCACCTGGGTCTCCGTCACACTGCAGCCAGTCCCTCATCAATTCAGACAAAGGCACCGGCCCAAAGTGGCCAAGTGACTGGCCCAGGGTCGCCCAGCTATTTGCTGGAGCTGCGACTGGAGCCCCTGAGTGCTGATTCCTGTTCCAAATCACTCTCAGTTGTAGTTGAATCTGACTACAAACTATTTCTGGCTTCTGTGTCTGGTTCTGCCAAAAACTAGCTGTATAACTTCAGGAATTTCCCCCTCTGAGGTTCATGCTTCCTCATTTGAAAACTGGAGCGAGGAGGTTTAGATGAAGAGGAAGCTTTTAGTTTTCATTTGGCTTTAATCTTTAAAGTTCCAAGACAGAACAGCTGACGTATCTGTTGGTATTTTGCTAATTTCTCGATGAAGAGATGAGACGAACCTGGAGAAGAGATCACAGGAGTCTCCAGGATCTGGGTTCCAGTTCTAAGAACTTTAAGGAGCTCCAGGTGACAGGGCAGCGCCCACCGCCACGAGCCCTGCACCTGGCCTTCCGGACAAACGTGTGGCACCGGTGCCTACCTGAGCAAGCATGTGTGAGGACACAGGGCACGCTGTGCTCTGGATGGTGGGACCGTTTGTGCAAAGGCTACTTGTAGGCTAGTCAGCCTTGAGCCAAAATACAACTGAGAGAAGCTGGAGAAGCAGAAGACCCAGGCCCTATCCCTTATGTCACACCACCACCACTGCAGAGCACTGACTATGCTCCAGGTTTTAGTGCTTTAGATGTATCAACTCCAGTAGTCCTCTGAATTGTGAGGTAGGCATATTTACTCCTCCAGCCCTTTATTTAAAATAACAGATGAAGAGCCCTGGACAGTGTTTCTCAATGGTTAGAGGGTCAGCCCATGCACCAAAGGGTTTCAGGTTCAATTCCCAGTCAAGAGCACATCCCTGGGTTGCATGTTTGAAACCTGGCCCCAGTCGAGCTATGGTGTGTGGGAGACAACCAATCAATGTGTCTCTCTCATAGCAATCTCTCTCTCTCCATATATGTGTGTGTGTTGTGTGTGTGTGTGTGTGTGTGTGTGTGTGTGTCCCTTTATCCCACACTCCCTCCTTCCCTCCCACTCTCTCTAAAAATCAATGGAAAAAATATCTTTGAGTGAGGATTGACACACACACACACACACAAATAACACATGAAGAAACTGAGACACGTGCCCAAATGAGCCTGGTAGAGCTTACAATTTAAACTCAAGCAGTCTGGCTCCAGAGTTTGTCCTTAAGTAAATGTTGTACCATTTTACTTAAAACCTTCTTTCTCAAATAAGCGAAAACGAGCTCCTGTTTCTCTAATTATAGACACAATCTCATGTAATCTTCACAATCACCCCTCTTTTACAAGGAAACTGAGGCTCAGAAAGGTGGAATGACTTGCCTAGTTAGTGAGACCGCTTGCTATCAAACCCAAGTTTTTAAAAATTCAAAACCTAGTATGCTGCCCACGAAACCGTAATTGCATGCATCCTATCTGAAGATCCCTCATTTAACAAATATTTCAGGGTCCTCTGCAGCACCAGAAACGGAGAGGAACCAGAGATGGCCGTCTCCTCCAGAAGTTTACCATCTAGTGGAGGAGACAGACAAAATTATGACACAACCCATGTGCTTTGCCGGAACAAAGCTGTGGGAACACTGAGGAGGGCCACGTAACCAAGACTAAAGTGGAAGAAAAGTGAAGTTGGGCTTTGAAGGACAGGTGGGAGTTGGCCAGCTGAAGGGCCGAGTGGGGATCTGGGAGAACTCGCGATTAGTTCCAAATGCCTGGAGCACAAGACGCTCACTGGGTGTGTTGTGTGTGTGTGTGTGTGTGTGTGTGTGTGTGTGTAGAACTCTAGATGCAAAGGATGGCATGTAGTGTACAAGAGTGGACTGTAGCCTCTGCACTCCTGGGCCAGACACCCAAAAATCTTATGGTCTGAGTGGCCAGTAACATCCAGAACTCAAAACATAGGTACGGGAATCGATTTTGATTGGGTAACCCAGGACAGCCAAAAATCTCACCGCACGCAGATCTTTCCCCCGCCAAGGATCTCCTCGCAGCCCTATCTGTTCTTGCATGTAGATAGGACGGCGCTGGTATTTGCAATGTGCTTCCTGGCATGTGTCAGCTCTGCCTTGGATACCTCAGTTCTCCAACAAAATGGGCACAATACACCGTCTACCTCAAACGAATGCTAAAATGGGAGAAGGGCACTCCCGTATGCGGAAATAAATACCAAGTAAAAGTAAGGAAGTCCGGGCTCTGGCGCCGACTCCCCAGCTGGAGCACCAGGGCTTTGGAAAAGTCCTTTCCCCTCCCCGCCCGCTCCTCCGTAACTATCTGCAAAGACAGAGGCCCGGGCTCCACAGGCCACCTCCAAGCAGGTCGCCGGGCTCTCTCATTCCGTGACTTTGTTTCAGACACATCCCGGGTACTGACTGTGAAAGCAAGAGCATGTCACTGATTCTAAAATGCACATTTCCCCCTACTGTAATCTCTCTGAAGTCAGGCTGTTTTTGCACAACGTGTGGCGTGCCACGGTTTCGTGGGTAGCGGGGCTGTGTGAGTGTGTGTGTGTGTGTTTTCTTAGTGGAACGTAAAATAATATCTTAAAAACGAGCGACACCTTGTTTGTGATGAAACATGACAGGTCCGGCTGCCTGGTTTCCCTTTCCTGCTGGTCCCCGAGTTCAGGGAACTCAGTGGGAAGCCGCGGCTGGACTCTGGCCAGGGACCTTCCGACAGACACTTGAGAAAAACTCTCCTGTGGACTCGGCTCCTGGTCTCCCGGCGGCTCCGGCCTGTGTCCCACCAGGTCGGGCTGTGAGCTGCTGAGGGCCGGGCTCCCTCTGAGCATCTCCCTCTCCCCCGGGCCGGCCCCGGTGC